TTTGATATGATTCAAAAAGGAAAAGGGGGTTTATCAAGCAATGGTGAAACGGCAATTATACCATCAGATAGCGCAAAAATTCTCTTCAGGATGTACTACTGAGACGCAAGGAGAATGAGTTTTTAATCAGCAATGAATGTACAAAAAATAGTAACACAAAACGCTGAGAACTTTCCGGACAACCTAATATTATTGGATGCACCTCTTCTACTTTCGCCACACAACTCTCACCTCGCCCAGAAAGGCAACCTCTTTTCGCTATGTAGTTCACTTCCTCGAGGAAAATTCTAGCAATTACACCGTCTCAAGACCGACTAGTTTTGCTGGAGTTTCTAGATTGCAGCAAAACAGGCATGAGTAGCAGTACCATAAATTGGCTCTGTCATATAGATATTGGTGGTTACAGGGAGGGCGAAAAAATAGACACTGGCCGAGTCACATATCAGTAAAGTTTTCGCAGCCCAGACAGAAGACGTGGATACGAGTACCAGGGCGGAAGATACCCAAGATGTTCCTCGATAAGCAGGAGCTGGCTCTCGCCCATCACCTTCATGTACACCAAAATATGAAGCCATCTCCAGTCGCAGCCTGACTGGAAAGGTCGGAATTCACTTCACCTCCAAACAGCTGCGAAACTTCTTGTATGGAGTCACCCATGGACAGCTACCTGGAGACCGGCACTCTTGATCTGGAAGACCTCCAACATCGAGCAGCTCCGACAACGTCGCTACGGTCTAGGACATCATCTTCACCGCAGTCGCCAAGGCGCGGGTTGGTGGTATGGACCGGAAGTTCCTGGAATGGGAAGACCGATATTTTCTTCGTGGACCCCGGACTGAAAGTGAACGCTGACGGTTACATCGACCAACTCGTGGAGAATATCCTGCCTTCATGTCATCGCCTGTACCTCTTGGAAACTTCGTACTGCTACAGGATTGGGTGCCACCACATGGAATCGAAGGGCGTTGGAAAAACTCTCGCCTACTTGGAATGGAAGGGCGCTGAGTACCTGAAGAAGACGGAATATCCAAGTGTGTCCTCGGCCCTAAGCCCTCTCGATTACCGGGTTCCGGCGGAGCTCAACAGGGTGGTCTACAGTGGCGGAGAAATCAACGACTCGCTGAACTCAGGCACCGAATCACGGTCGCGTAGGCAGAATCTCTCGATGGCGTTCGTCCACTAGGCTGTGGCGGAGGAAGTGATAGTGTATATTCGGTGGTGGAAATGCACAATCAGAATGCAGTAAAGTGTTATTTATATCGTCTTCAAAGTTGAAAAGAGATTTTTCCTGCCCTCTCCCACTGTGGGCCATATCGCTAAGCCACTTCTTTCTGAATGGAAGTCGAATGCGTGCCGCATCCCACAAAAGAGTTTATAAACGGCGAACACTTTATCATATATCCTACCACGACGCCTAACCTACCCCACGCCCAACAAATGTGAGAAGAACTGAGAAAATCATTTCAAAAAGTTAGCCAGAAATGTTCCAGAGAATATGAAACCTAATGTACGCTGTCATAATGACAGTTTTGATCATGGGTCATTCAGCTGTTGGAGCATGTGCGACTTTCGCTATGCCCTCCAAATTTCCTCGTCACCACAGTCAGTGAGGACGCGTTGGTGATGGGCAACGCTGCTTGTCGAAGTCTTCTCGATGAAGCAAAAGTTAGTATTATTTCCCAGAAGACTACTCGAATCGACATATTTCCTATTCCCCGTTTCAGAACTACCAACTTCTGAGATTCTCTTCATTTGAACAACCGAATATTCAAGAACCACGCACTCGATCGCGGAAGCCTCTCAACTTATTTTGCGACACATTGTATGCTGGTAAGCTCAGGACTGTGCAGCGGGATTCGTTTTGAAATTTTGCGATTTACTCTTTCAGTGGGAAGACACATGAAAGGACGGTTTTGTCTGTGTGGAACGCATTAATCCCGAAGAAGCGCGACCCGTATGGCGAACGGTTGCTCCCATGAGCAGGAGAAGGTGCAGCATTTGCTTTGATAAGTAGAAGATTAAGGAAAAAAAACCTCCGCCTCTGTATAGAGTCGGACTCGGCAATGCTTTTCTCGACGACTTCCTCTACGCTATTGGTGGTGTGGATGGCGAAACATATTTGAATAGTGCTGAAAGGTAGTATAATCATTTTCTCAGATAAACGACCGAATTACACTTCTTTATGCCTTTTTTTCTGTAACAGGTACTTAGTTTCAATAATGCTACCATAATGCTTAAAACTTCTATCTGGAGTTTGAAGAAGACCCCGCCCACAGTGGGCGGGGCACTCGCCGAAAGTTTGGGGTTCCGCACAGAAATGTTCATAATTCGCTTCCGGAGCAGCTCAAAGATGGGGAAAAAGTGGAATGAGGTTAGCAAGGAGTTGCCAGACTAACTGTGGGAGACACATCCAAAATGGGCGGGGGCGTACTCAAGGTGGGCGGCGCTTCTCACAAAACTCAGTAACCCGGTTCGCAAGAGTGTTTAGAAGTCGCAAAAAACTCAGTGTAGAATGTAAATATCTGGCGAGTGTTGGGCACGCTCAAAGTGTGTTGAGACCCGCCCACAGTGGGCGGAGCTTGCCCTAATCGCAGGATACTCATTTTAAAAGTTTGTAGCTCAGTTTCAGAACACTCCAGACACCGGAAAAAAAGTGGATTAAGGTCAGCAGAGGGTCGCCGGTGAAGACTGTGGGGCACAAACATTGTGGGCGGGGCCTGCTCCGAGGTGGGCGGAGTCAGACAAAAGATCTGCAAAATAGTTTCAGAGCACTCCAGACACCGGAAAAAAAGTGGATTAAGGTCAGCAGAGGGTCGCCGGTGAAGACTGTGGGGCACAAACATTGTGGGCGGGGCCTGCTCCGAGGTGGGCGGAGCCAGACAAAAAAATCTGCAAAACGGTTTCAGAGCGGTCCAGACACCGTCAACATGTAAGCGGAGATGCAGGACCTCAACTGTTGGATATATGGCAAGAGTTGAGTGTGTCTCTCAGTGAGCGTAGCGCACGAGTCCTTACTGAGTTTTAGCGCGTATTCTGCCATACTCTTAACCACCGGTCGTCATAGGTATTAGATTCCAGTCGGCTCGGCGGCTGATGCCAGCGCTCCTCCTCCTGTGATACGGCCCAAGTTGGCCGGACGGGCACGGCTTCGCCACACATTCCTTCCCCAGCTATTCTCTCGCCTGTGCCCATACGCACTTTAGTACCACTCCATACTCAGTAATAGTCAAAATAGCAGGGATGATGTATTTGTCGAGAAGCTTTAACCATGAGTACAGAACAAAAGCCTGATATCAGTTGAGTCTAGAAATATGTGAAAGAAGGTACGCGCGGCGAAGCCGCGCCCGCCCGGCGCAGCCGGGCCGTATCAGAAGGAGGCGCGCCGGCGTCAGCCGGCGAGCCGACTGGTAAAGGTAAAGGATAAAGTCTTCGCCGTTGATCAATCCCTTTGTGGGATGCGGCATGCATTCTCTTTTCCTTCCTTTCGGATTGGTGAAGGCTTATTGAGTGCGATGTGGCCTATACAGTGACTCGGAAGGGATGGGGGGGGGGGGGCGGAGTTACCGTCCCCGGAGGGTAGAAGGCTTGGTTGGCCTGGGCGGAGTCGACCCGGGATTTGAACCCGGCACCGCGCGAGTAGTAAGCGCGCCACTCGGAGTATCTCAAAGTATATCGAAGAAAATCATAGTTATGCAAAATCAAAGAGAACTGTGTAATCGAAACCCCGTGTAAACTACTTTCATATGAGAAAATCTCACACGAAAGGTTCAACCCTCCCGAGGGTTTTAAAGGCTCTAAAACGCGCAGGGTCATCGACTTGCGAAGGATTCCCAGCATGAAAACTTGTTCGGATCTCACGCTATGCAGGAGGGGCAATAAAAAATACTTTTCTTCCTTGACTTTCGAGGCGCTATAAGTTACACTTTATTGAATTCTGATCGGACATTTTTACCACCATATTAAAGAGCATATTAAATACTATCGATACTCCGCCACAGCCTTCTGGACGAGCGCCATCGAGAGATTCTGCCACGCAACCATGGTTCGGTGCCTGAGTTCAGCGAGATCGTTGATTTCTCCGCCACTGTAGACCACCCTATTGAACTCCGCCCGAACCAGGTAATTGAGGGGGTTTAGGTCAGGTGACCTGCTTAGATATTCCATCTTCTTCAGGTACTCAACGCCCTTCCATTCCAAGTAGGCGAGAGTTTTTCCAACGCCCTTCGATTCCATGTGGTGTCACCCAAACCTGTAGTAGTGGAAGTTTCCACGAAGATACAGGCGACGAAATTGGGGGAGAATATCTTCACGAGTCGCTCGATATGACCGCCTGCGTTCACTTCGGTCCGTGGCCCATGAAGAGAATATCGGTCTTTCCGTACCAGGTACGTCTGCCCCTTACCATCAACCCGTGCCTTGGCGACTGAAGATGACGTTCGAGATCGTAGTGACGTTGTCGAGCTGTTCCGATGTGAAGTCCCAGATCGAGAGTGCTGGTCTCTAGTTATCTATGTGTGACTCCACACCACATCACTGTTCCTTTCGTCGGGTACGGAAACCTTGAGGTACTCCACTTCGTAGCATCATGTGGGCGACTTCACATTTTTTATTATTGGTAAAAGTGTCTTTGTAGCAAAACTCTGTGGACTTTTAAGGAAATATGAAAATATATTCAAGATGAAAGTCTGGTAGCTCTTACATGATTTTGTACTAGTTTGATTATTTTATCCAGCATGCTCCTAAATGAGGTCTCATGGTGTTTCATGTGAAGCGTCGCAAGCAGCAAATACTCCCGCCTCGGGATGACGAGCCGCATTGCTTTGCCGCCTTTTCTTGAACAACGTTATGTGCCATGCCAGCCAACCACGTTTCCATAATGATTACAGGCGATAGAATCACCTACATCCCTACCTGCCTAGAATTACGGAAGAACAGCCTGAGAATAGCCTAAGTACTCTCGGATAACTATGGTTCGTTAGACGAGAAATGCTGAACGCCTTCGGTCAGACGAGTTGCTTCACAGATCACCGCGGAGAGTTCTTCCAAACTAAGTGCCCACGACGGAATGGCAAGATAGAGTCCGTCCGTGAAAGGACTAAAACCCCATCACATAAGGTGGATTTGTTGAAGAAACTGCCGAGTTAAAACGACCACCTCTCATAAGCGATTTATAGTCTGGCTTTTTTTCTTCATGGAGAAATGTTCAGTGCTGGAGATCCAAGTAGCACTCGCGACTCTCAAGTGGTCTTCGCGGGTAGCCCTGATGTCCTCGAAAAGCAACTTTGGAGGAGAGTACATGTGATTTGTCATAGCTTTGGGAAGAGCATAAAATGAAGCCTCATTTCTCGGTATGAGGACAGGATAGTCGGCAAGGAATAAGTGGTTGACTCTAACATTTCGCTCTTTTTGAGACTAGGGCGATGCAGGAAACATGTCCCACAGCTGCAAAACGAGCCTTTGTCAAAGGAAAGCTTTCTGCACAATGGTATTGGAATTCGTCACATAGTCCTCCAGACTTATCATTTCACAACCGTGGGATCACGGCTTAGTGTGTCTTTACAACGGCCGACAGTGCAATGCGGTTCACCCCCCCAAGGCAGCAATACTTGCTGTTTACGAGGTTATAGACAAGAAAACCATGAGAAACCAGATTCGGAGCATGCAAGATAAAATGGTCAAACTAGTTTTCAGGTGTCTACATGCTTTTGGAACAAAATAACTTCTACCATTGAACAAAATGTGAAGTCGCCCACAAGATGCTATGTAATGAAGTACCCTAAAGTTCCGTACCCAAGGAAACGAATAGTAAAAGTCCTATCCCGCCAAAATCAAACGTATTCTTGCTGGTGAGAATTTAGGGTGTCCACGCACTTTTGTCACGCACTAGTGAACGAAAAGTCGGAGAGGAATAAGTGGCTTTTCCGCAAGGGGTTCATGAGGGCGTCTGTTCTTCCCTGAGTTCAATGACGTTACAAGGGCAGCTTCAAGTATCTTCTTCTGTGATGGGAGCCGCGTCACTGAAGCGACGGCAGCTGTCAATATTGCATTGTTGAAGGACTCCACCATCACCATCACGACTGTCCACTACTTCTTCGCTTCGCGAAAGAAGACACATTCTCCTTCTTCAAAACTTAGTCGGAGCGCCCTTACAAAATGAAAGATCTGCCATTCTCGAAGCTGCCGGAGAGGATCCGGAGGCTGCCAACCAGTATTGCGACATGACTCAGATGTAGCCACTCAACAACTCTCACTCGCCTCCAGACCTTCTGTTGCGAGAATGTGCTCACGCAATGGTTGACCCACACATCAACGGATGGCACACGGTAGACCAGGGTAAGCACCTGTGAAATAATTTCTCCTTCTTTGCCGCAAATGAAAAGAGTTACAAAGGATAAGAGTTGGATGCTCGACGACTTGCGCGGAGAAAGTAGAACGCGTTGAAGCTTTGGCCCCATTTACCTTCGCTCATGGCAGGAACCAGGACCCACTGATTCGGGAATCTCCGTGACCGATAACGAGGGAAGAACTTCTTCGCAGTGCTGCTACCGCACATTTGAAAGACGAGGCATATGGCAAGGATGTGCAGAGAAGATGCGGCACGAGTCCAAGTTACTAACGGTGATTGACTGGTTGAAAGCCTCTCCTTCGAAGATAGATCCAGCCTGAGGTTTCAGTCAAGCAGTCGTGCAATATTATGTTTAACCCAACGGATGTGTCTTGCAATGTCATCATTTTTTCCTTCACGCTTTGCTTCTTTTCGAATGAGGTAGAACGTTCTTTATTCATTTCTGCGAGTTTTCGAAGTATTCGTTTCTGCCAGCAAGGCACCTTTGTAAAGTCTTAACATGCAAAATTAATCACTAACACTTGTTTTGCATTTAAGGTATGATCCTCTTTCTGATCAATGGACTAGTGACATCGCACCGATGTCCACCGCTCGCTTCCTACCTGGTGTGGCTGTGCTTAACAATTTTCTTTATGTGAATTGGAGGCTCCGACGAAACAAATTTTCTGGATGCTGTTGAACGGTAAATTTTACTACCCGCTCATGCTAGGAAACTTTCACTAACCGCTTTTTTTGCCCACGTCATTGCAGCTACGACCCTTGGCGAAACTCATGGACCCTCTTGCCACCAATGA